CTTGTGTCGCTTGGGTAGCCCCCATAGGGGGCCGTGCCCTTAAAAAAGACACGGATACCACACCGCCAAATTCCTCATCTTTTTCCTTTGGGTACAAGTTGTCGTCCACTATTAGCCGGCTCCAAAACTTTTGGCGAAACTTTCAAGGTTACTTTTGAAGCAAGAAGCGAATCTGTTGTTTCGGAATTACAACAACTCATGAGTTCTCAAGAGGCTCTGCTGTCAGAGTTCTTGAAACAACATGAATTACGTAGTATTAGTTTGCGTTCAAGTACGCAAATGATTGGAGAATCATGTATAAATGATATGATTACACGCTGCGCACCAAATTGCAAACAAACCGTGAATCTTCCACCTCCACGATCCGACCTTCTTCCTCTGTGAGCAGTGGTCCATATTTCTTCTCGCGAAATCGCACCGCCCGGCCGGAGATAGGTAACGACTTAATCTGATCACTGGGTCTTGCACCCACAACGAGAGCTGCTCTATTCCTCGGGTCCCGAGGCTCCACTGTCTCAATCATTACGCGCATCCCGTCTGGCTTCTTAATGGACAATGTTTGGCTCCCATCAGGTCGCTCTATCGTCACCGCATGCACGTGGCTCAGCCACGTTCGACCCAAGAGCAGGTCGGAGCTGCAGTTCTTGACTGCAAAGACAGACAGGGTCACTCGTACCCCTTGGACCTCTATGGCTACCTTGTGACAAACCCCAGTGATCTGTTGCTTTCTCCCATCAGCCGTCTCTATCTCGAATAGGTATGACCTATCGAGGCCCAGTCCAACCTGTACTGCCAGGTCCTCGTCTATGATGATAGCCTCACTACCGTTATCGATCACAGCATCGAGTACCGCTCCATCGTTTATAATCGTCTCCACGGCCCCGCTACCAAGTATATAAAACTTGTCTGGAGGCACACCTTCCATTCCATTGAGAAGGACTGTCGCCATGCGATCTGCTCTGGCAGTCACCCCCGTTACTGCTACAGTAGAAGCTTCCGCCTTAGGGGCCCCCTGACCCTCCTCCGATAGAGGTATGCGAGTCTTCCGCGTGATCATCTGTAACTCATCACGAGTCGGCTTCGATGCCGCCAGGTACTCCAGCATAGAGCACTGCATGGGTTGCCGAAGGGCCCGCCTCAGTGGCTCGACCGTGTCAATCTCGTCCAGTGAACTCTTCATTAAGAACTTCTTCATTCCCCGCTTTCGCGGCGAAAGGATAACCTCTTCTCCATCGACCCGCAGCCCGTCCTTCTCCGCCATCACGTAATCCGTGTCAGTCTTCTTCGATGTAGACCCTCTCGCCGACTTGGTGGCTGCCACTCTTATGGCTGTGGTCGCCATATCCCCCTCAAAGGTTATCTTGATGCTCTGGTTCCTGACCGGCTCCTTTTCTTTACTCGGCTTTACTCTCCTTGCTTCGACATTCTCCTTCATCGAAGGGAACATCGATACATCTCCCAGACCATCTGCCCACTTGACGTACTTGCGGTCGTCAA